CGTCTTCAAAACGCCAATGTCGCCATCTTTAGCAGCGTCAATGCCTTTCTTGTGCTTTTTGTTTCTTCAAAGAACTTTTTCTATCTCTTTGAATCTTTTCATTTTGTTCCATGTTCCCGACGGTTTGTCAATATCAAAACCTAAATGGAAACAAACATTGTCATTAGCAAAATGTCAAAGTGAAAATGTTTTCCAACAAGTATGAGAGAGAGGATTTGTTTCATAAGTGATAAGGTTACCTCAAAGACCATCGTATGTGATGACGTTATAATCTCGGCCTTCGTAGGTGGAGTTAACCTTTGACTCCCATTCCTTGGTAAGACTTCGCAGGATTTTCCTCACTAACTCCTTGTTGGTGAAAGTCTTTCCAAGCATATCAAGGTCGCTGATAATGTTCGAAAATCTTCCAAACATGTCCTCCACAAGCTCGTTCTCTTTCATAGCAAATAGCTCATATTCATGGGTTAGTAAATCAATTTTTGATTCACGAACTTGAGGCGTACCTTCGTATGTGATCATGAGCTTGTTCCACATTTGGTTGGTGGTTTGGCAACGAGATATCTTTTGATAATCGTTGGCGTTGACAGCACAATACAAGAAGTTTATGGCGGTGGCATTCAATTGAGCCTTCTTGAAGTCGGCTTCATCATATTCATCCTCGTTCTTCGGGATGAGTGTATCGCCAATCTTCTTCATCGGCAAGCTATCTCCATTCTTGGTAGCGAGCCAAATTTTGAAGTCGTTGGATTGAATGAATATTCTCATCCGTTCCTTCCAATATGAATAATTTGTTCCATCAAAGAATGGTGGCCTTGTTGGACATGAGTTCAAACCCCTTTACTATTTCTTCTGGAATATTTTTTGTTTTGTTTTGATGAATGACAAAGAGGATGATTAATCTCAAGATGATCGAAAATTTATTTTCGTATCGAGAAAAGCAAAGAAGGGTATCAAGAAGTTTACGACGATAAAAATCGACGATCACCCCTACGCAGATTTTTTTTGAAGTGAAGTGAAGACTCCGAAGACTTTTTTATTTTTTAATTATGTCTAGGAATCTTTGTAAGGATGACAATTTTTTTCTGCACAAACAAGTTATTTTTGAGTCAGTTGAAAAATTACTTTTCCTTTGTCTAAAATATTTTACTAAGTTAGTTTCAAAATAAGTGTGTCAAAATTTCTTAAAAACATTTTTTTAAGGATTACACAATTTTTTTTGGTAAGAAAAATATACTTTAAATATTTTTCGTGTATATCGTTTGACACACGAAATAATTTTTGGACTCACTTTTTCTCCCCTATTCAAAATCATTGAATAAGGGATATTATATGTGAGGAGCGTTCTTGTTATTCTCGTTGTCTCAAACAACGAATATAAAGCCAGTGCCCTTCTCATCGCACTTGGCTTGGGCCCTTCATGTTTGCGCATTATTTTCACTTTAATCGATTAAATTTTCTAAAATAATCGATTAGATCCAATTTCTCAGCGCTGGATTTCTCAGGCCAATAGACTTAATCGATTAAATTACTCCATTTAATCAATTAGTTTAAACAGAGCAAGCTAATCGATTTTTCTCTCTTTTTTAATCGATTAATTCCACCTTTGCATTCAAGCCCTTTTCTCTTCTGTACACTTTAATCGATTAAAGTCCCTAATTTAATCGATTAATATTGTCTGGTGTCTATTCTCAATCTGCTCCAACGGATCTTTTATCCTCAAGCCTATTTAATCCCTCATTCTCCTTCATTTCTACACACATCTCTTGCACTCCAATATATTCTTTGAGCTATATTCATCCTTTGCTTCATCTTCCTCATCAAAATATTATTTTTGAGAGTTAGAAATATTTTCTTTGAGTGCTAAAGAAGTTGTCATCCATAGAGCTTTAATTCTTCAACACTACTTTGCTCAATTGTGTGAGCTTTCATTCTTGTGTTGTAAACTCAATCT